CATGCACCCCTTTGTCATTTCCTCAGACCGTTCTCATTTTGCAAACTTTAACCTTGTGGTTTTCAAGGGTAGCATTAGAGGTATGGCCAAGACCCAGGCAGTTAAAGTTTTGTCTTCTGCAGTGTGGAACCTGGTCCTTTTCTTAGGATCTTCTAAACATATATTAAGCAAATACATCCCTGTCATTGCAGTAACAGGACATTGGCAGTACCATCCTCTCCTCTGCCTTAACCTATGGCAAGTTATTGGGTGCTCTTGGTATTTTGGTTATTGTTCTTTGTAGTTATGGGTGAAGGCTTCAAAGGGATTTTGAGGATGCCTTCTGTTAATGAATGCCAGTAAGCATGGACTAGAGTTGATGACCCATGGGGTCCTTCTAGTCCTATGCGCCTATGTTTTTCTATTCTGATTAATATTAATTTCCTCAAAAAACAGCAGAAGAAGCACCCCATGCCTTGGATATCTTCTGGAACTTACTGAAATTTCAGCCTCCTTTTCTGCATTTGTGGGCTTACATTATGAAAAAAAATTTGTGATTCCACAAACTTGAAGATCCTGACTAGTCCTGGCCTCATCCATAATGTGTTAACCATTTTGCACATCTGAGAGTTTATGGGAGGAATTTAACCTGAAAAGGGGAGAGGCCTATCAAAACACAAGCCAATTGTGTGCCTACTTTTGTAATTGCAGATATTACAATCCTAGCCACAACCTGAGTATCTTCCTACACAGGAATTAGACCTTGTATGTATACCACTTGCTTCTGCATCTGCAGTAACTGCCTGTGAAATTATAGGCATGCAGTTGCAGAGACCCAGGACTTTCCTTTCCTAAACTTTGGCCTTGTAAGATATTGAGAGTTATTAACAAAATGTTAAACAGTAAGGCTGTGCGAAATTTCGATGGGCGTTTCGTTTCAAAACTGTTTCAATATGTTTCAAGCTTGAAACAGCGAAATTGAAATTAAATGAAAGACTTTGAAACAACTTCAAAATGAAACAAGGGCACTTGAAATGTTTCAAAAGTTTAAAGTTTCAAAGCCGGGCTTGCTTGTAGCTAAACAGAAACTAAGGTTCGATCCCCCAGGTCCTGGTTCACTTCCCCCAGCTCTCTGATCATTCCCCCAGCTCTTCCTGGGGGGCACGGGCCCCCAATCTCCATGTGGGGTTTCAGCAAGCTATTGCTGCAGGCTGGGGCCAGCGGCAGCCGCTTGGTACAGCCTGCGCTGAGTGTTGGGAAGACTGCCGTGCTACTGCTGGCCTCAGCCTGCAGCGGCAGCCTGCTGAAACCCGGTGTGCAGATCTGGTAGCCCATGCCCCCTGGGAAGAGCTGGGGGAATGCTCAGAGAGCTGGAGAATTGAACCAGGAGCTGGGGGAATGTTCAGGGCCCCCAGTTTCAGGTACAATTCCCAGCTCCTCGATCTTTCCCCCAGCTCTACCCGGGGGGTGCAGGCCCCTGGATGATGCAGGATGACAGCAGGCTGCATCTGCCAGCTGGGGATGATGGCAGCTTTTGGGCTATTTCCCCAGCTGGCAGCAGCAGCCTGCTGAAACCCCACGCACAGATCTGGGGGCCGTGCCCCCCCGTAAGAGCTTGTGGAATGATCAGAGAACTGGGGAATTGAACCAGGAGCTCCAGTTGACAGGTGGATCCACCCCAACTCCAGGACAGCATGCAGCAACCTGCCAAGCCATGCTGCACCTGTGTGATGGTGCAACTGCCGTGTGGGTGTCAGGTGAGGGGTGATCCCCGCTGTCCCCCACTGCACAGGGGAGCTCTGCCATGAGCCATCAGAGGCCCCAATTCTGGCTTCCAGAGCCAGTGAGTGCAGGGCTTTTTTTAAAAAACTCCGCACTCACCAGATGTGGAGAAGCAAGAAATGTCAAAGTTATAGGCATTTTTGTGATTCCCCATTATAGCCTATGGGTGAAACATTGAAACATGTTGAAACAGTGAAACAGTTTCGATGAAATGAAACAGAACAGTGCTTCAAAACAGTGAAACGAAATGGCCCTTTGAAACAGTGAAACAGAAGTCAAAATGAAACGGTGGTGTTTTGCATAGCCCTGTAAACAGGAAAACCAAACCAACCCCCAGAGTTTTGGTCCAAATTTAAATTTTAAAGGTGTTTAGGCACCTAAATATGCATGTATAGGTGGAGGGAGAATTTTTTGGGAGGGAGCGCTGAGCGTGCATGTGCATGCATGCACGCACATGCCCCTCCAGGTGGGAAAGCATGTGGGGGAAGAGCAGGGGAGGGGAGAGGGAGTGGGACTGGGGCTGGGGCTTGGGTTGGGGCCGGGACTCAGCAGGGATCAGGACGGAGTGAAGCAGAGCTGGTTCCAGGATTGGGATCGGGGCCAGGGTCCACTGTGCCTGTGAGACCACCCCTCCCCTCATGCCTGGGATCATTGCCTGGCACTGGTGCACGAACAAATCCACTGCCCCCCAGCCCAACACCGGCCGCAGCCCCACACTGTCCAGGAGGGCCCAAACAGCTGGAGGGGATGGAGCCCCTGGTATCCCCACTCCTGCCCCGCCAGGCCCTGGACAGCTGGGGTGGGACGGGAT